AAGAAAACACCAAAACATCCTTAATGTTGCAAGGGCTTTAAAGTTTCAATTTGGACTTTCCTTACAATATTGGAGTGAGTGTGTTCTTCATGGTGAGTATTTAATCAATCGCATCCCAACTCCAATTCTACACAACAAATCACCAATTGAAGTTCTGTTTCACAAACCCATTTCTCTGCTTCATTTGAGAGTGTTTGGATGTTTGTGTTATGCTTCTACCCTTGCTCATGGGAGGACCAAGTTTGCTCCTAGAGCTCAGGTTTTCATTTCAAGGGATGTGATTTTCTATGGGAAAACATTACCTTTTCATTATCCTTATGCTAGTTCTTCAATGGACCTATCTTCTTTTGTCTCCACACCTACACAGGTGGTTCCACCAGCTACTCCTGCTTTACATGTCCCTTTCCCTCTGCATGCCACTTCTCCTCAGGTTCATCCATCCATGGATGAAGGGGCGGGGGGGATTGTTTGAGGATCACACTATTGATTACTCTCCTACAAGCATTCCAACAAGTACTCATAGTCAACATGGGCAATATGACTATTTGATTCAGATGAACAAGAATTACTACCACATGCAGATGTTGATTGTGACATCCAGGATCCTACAATAGAGGACAAACCTCGAAGAAAGGTTACACTTCCAAGTAAGTACATGGACTATGAACTAGACCCAACCATTACCTTTGGTCCAAATGGGAAATCAAATTCTTGTGGTATACATCCTATATGTTTGAATGTGGATGGTTTGAGTCATTATAATAGATCCCTTACACTGAGTATTGTGAATCTAGAAGAACCCAAGTCCTATTATGAAGCAATCAAATCATATGCATGGAATAGAGCAGTAAACTCAGAGATACATGCTTTAGAGGAGAACCAAACCTGGCATATTGTCCATTACCTCCAAACACCAAAGAGAAAGGAAACAAATAGGTTTTTAAATACAAGTTTAAGCCTGATGGATCCTTTGAAAGAGAAAAGGCCAGGCTGGTGGCCAAGGGCTATACTCAGGTCTATGGAATAGACTTTCTGGATACATACTCCCTAGTAGCTAAGATAAATGACTCGCTCAGAATATCACAATTAATTCCCACCTAAGGCCCAAGTATAAACCTTAGTCGGGTGTAATACGAGGCAAGTATGTTTAAATATCGACTCGGGCCGGTCCGTGTACCCCTACTTCATTCATTTGAATCATTATCTAGCGAATCGATTTTGGTTGAAAAGTTTGCTAATTAAAGTAAAGCAAGGCAAAAGTAAATGGTTTTGAAAGCTCTTTGTGAGAAGGATCACTCGGGTGTCGCTTCCCCCTAACTACTGCCATGGTATGTGAATCGAAGTGATTGCTATCGGCAAGGGGAACGCGAACCGCTAGGGGACGCAAATATGGTTGTAGACCACACACTCGATTGCCAAACCGATGGATACATTATAGGCTATTCAAGTGGCCCTCTCGGTTAAGGCAATCGATGGTTGACTTACTCCCTCACTCAACCCAATGGGTGGTCGGCTTAATCGCGCTTAACCAAATTGCTTAATTCAACATAGAGGTTTACCCTACACTAACCTAGATAGGTGGCTTAAAAAGCCCTAGGAATCCCAACTTAACTGAGCCTCCCTTGAAAGGGGGGTTTCCCCTCTAATCTAGGTTAGAATGGCGATTAGATTGCTAAGCACAATCAACATGAAAAATACCGCAATCATTGAATTAAATAACACCCATAAACAATCATTCAATTCACATAACAACTACATGAAAAATAGTTAGGGTTTCACAACACGCAAGTGAAAATGAAACTACTCCATGCTAGAAAGGGGAAGAACACAAAAGGAAAAGGTAGAAACCATCATGGTGATGCCTCCAATCTCCTTTGAGCTTGTGTTGCTCTTTTCTTGTGGAGAATCTTCCCAATTCACCACTTGGAGCAAACCCTAGCATTCTTTGTTCTTTGGTTCGTTCCTTCTCTCTCTAAAATCTAAAGAAGAAGACATTTTCTCACTCTTTGGCTCTCCCTTATCTCTTCCTTTCAGCTCTCCTTTTGAGCAGGGATCAGGCTCAGTTCACGGCATGAGTTCACGGTCGTGAACTCAAGGTTGGCGTCAAAATGCACCGTTTTGCTTGCACAGGCTCACGGGCAACAGCTCCAGTTCACGGTCTTAGTGACCGTGAACTCACTCAGCGTCAGTAAATTCAGAATTCGCCCTAGACGCCTTGATGTTCACGGGCAATAGCTCCTTTTCACGGTCTTAGCAGACCGTGAACAACCAAGAAAAACCATGCAAAAGTAAAGCTGAGTTCCAAGGAAACATTGTTGGAAGATGGTGAAGCATACAGAAGGCTAGTTGGGAGGCTTCATTATCTCACAATTACAAGACCAGAATAGTGTTTGTAGTGCAACAACTCTGTCAATACCAAAGGAACCCTTGTGAAGAACATATATAGGCTGCCTATCGAGTGTTATGATATCTGAAGTCATCACCAGATCAAGGCATACATTTCAACAATGCATCAGAGGAAAAGATGGTTGGCTTTAGAGATTCAGACTGGGCCAGTACAGGTTATGGTTGGCTCTTCTTTTCTAAACTGGAAAACCAAAAAGCAAACAACAGTTTCAAGATCTTCATCTAAAGCTAAATATAGAGCCTTGGCACACCTGGTTTGTGAGATTGAATGGTTAAAGAGGTTACTTTTTGAGTTAACAGTGCAGGTACCACTCGCTATCCTTGTGTATTGTGACAACAGATCTGCCATACACATGGCAGAGAATCTTGTTTTCCATGAGAGAACCAAACATATTGAGATTGATATGCATGTTACAAGAGATAGGATTAAAGCTGGTTTGTTTAAGCTGAAGCATGTTGGAACAATTGAACAACTTGCAGATATATTCACCAAAAGACTTGATCGGTTTAGAATGAAGGAGATCTTGTGCAAGTTGGGGATTATAGGAGTACCACCAACTTGAAGGGGTATGATAGAGTTGAAGTTATGCAGAGAGTAGCAATCCTGATTGACTGCGGATTTAAAGTGAATGAAAACAGTGTCGTTTATAGGTGGCTGAAAAAGAACGAAGGCCAAAGAAAGAAGGAGAATAATGAAATTTTATATAATGTTGTTAGCCGTTAATTTTACTGTTAGTTTAAACTATCAACCTATCATGTAAGGCCCCGTTTAGTATCATTTTGTTGCTGTTGTGGTTGCAGTGGTGTTGTGTAAACAGATGTACAACCACAACAGAAAACACAAACCTGTTTAGTTGATAAATCTGAAAAATCATGAAAGCTGACAACAAGAAACAAAAACGTGTTTAGTTACTACTATAAGAACTAAAAACCAGAAAAAGAGATATGTCCTCAATATTAAGCAAAGTCTCACAAAAGTCAACATACCTAACATCATTCATGTTCCTTACAAAAACAATTACTAAACATGATTATCACTCCATAACTGGTTAGCAATGTCATCACGCTTCTCGGTCATCTCACGTGTTGCTGCATAGCTGACGTTTAACTCAGTGAGTGGTAGTTTAACCCCAGAAGTCGAACCTTCTTCATCTTCATAATTTTCATATTCATGAAATAGTTTATCATCTTCTGCATGAATCTTGATGAAATTATGTAAGGCGCAACAAGCAATGACAATACTTGTTTGCTTCCTCAAGCAACAATACTAAACGGGCCCTAAAGATACATGTTGTGTTTCTGTTAATTGCAAGAGTAGCTATAAAAGGATACAGGTTACAACTGAGTTTCCTCTCCAACAATTATCATTTCTTACAAAATCTACAAACAAACCCAATGTTGACAAATCAGATATGGTTGTTTTTGGGTCAAATGACCAATTGACAGGGACGGAGCCAGGAAATTAAAGGGGGGGGGGGTAAAATTTTTTGAAAACAAATATTATGATATCTATCGTTCCACACAAATTATAAAAATATTGACAAATAAAGCTTATTTTGACCTAGTAGAAGACCTTTGGCATATTGTATAGTTAAAAAATATGTTACTGCTAATTAAATATGAAAATATAGAACTCAGTTCCTAATGGAAAATGGTGAAAAAAGAACTATAATTCCTATGCAAAAGCAAATTAACTTGCAAAAATTCAAAAAATTTAGGTTAAAATGAAAAAAACACCGTCTCAAATCTGAAATTTGTTACCAATTTTAAGACAATGGACAAAAGATATACCAAATGGGAATGTTTGGTACCAAATCGTAAGGCGTAGGAATTTGGAGATGAGAAGTATGGTACCAATTGTAAGATAATAGGCAAAAGTTGTACCAAATGAAAAAAATCTCGTAAGAAGTGAAAATTTTGGGGCAAAAGATGTACCAAAAGAAAAGTTTTGGCACCAAATCGTAATGCATGCAAAATTTGGGGTTAAGAATCAAAACATGATGAATTAAAACGTCGCTGCCTACAACCATCGAACCTCCGACCTCATATTAAACTAAAAGTTACATACCATTAGACTACAGCTTCAGTTATGTAGCTTAGTTGCTGCCATTTTTTATAATACTTTTGGTGGGGTGGGGGGGGGGGGGGTGGTGGGGGGGGAATGGCCCCCTGCTTACACTCTAGCTCCGTCCCTGGCAACTGGGCTGTCGGATTTTGCTCTTTTGCCTCGCCTTTACACTTTACAGGCTGTGATCTAATGGTGTTACTTGCATATATATAATGGCTAGCACTGGTGCAGAAAACTGCCCTCGAAGATGCCACATGATTTGGATTGAGGAATCTGGAAGTGACGAGGCATATGGATTACAAAGTCTCCAGCTTCAACATCTCCGAAACCACTTTTTGTCGCCATGCATGTCAGGGGCCAACGTAAAAAAAAATTAGTTAAATTATTAGAGATATTGAGGTTTTCACGAATTTACAACTTTATTATACTTACATTTTAATTTGATTATAATTACATGTAACTTAAGCAAAAACGCATCGAGAATGGGACGGGTCAGTGCAAGTCGGATCAATTAGTGTCATGTTTATAATCCTCAAATCCTGTATTCCCAACCCACCAACTCTCTTGGGGGGCCCAGCAGGAGTGCATCCAGGCCAGGTTATTCGCAGGGAATATCAAAGACATCCTGTTTATGTTCTTCAGCCCCGTTCCACAAAATTCCTATGCAACTTTTCCACAATAACTATTTATAAGAAAATATAAAGACATCCATATAGCCGAGAAGAATCAGAGCAGCCACCTTATCAACCACATTTCCACGAGGGCCATGGCCCCAACATCAGCGAGACAAACTACTATTAACCTGCAAACCACAGCTACTTCTCACTTCCACAGCCGCCATACCTATAGCTATACATAACTCCCACGATTCAGTCATATGGGGCACTCATCTAATCTACTTTTGTGTAGTTGAAAAGCAGGATTAACCCAAGCCCCACAATTGCACTGCATCCCTGCCCAGTTGAATGAACCCAACCTCGCATTGCATCCCATGCATAGAAGTTTCTCCCCCACAAAGCCTTCCTGCACTGCTCACAAACCAAAACAATTCAAGACCGGATCAAGGAAGTTAGCAATTGGCAATGTGCATATCCCAGGAACCGGCACTTGATGTAAGACATGAGGTCAAGTTCATGCCTCACCTGTTTGCATCCACTTCATAGGCTCAACAAAAATGGAGGAGCACTCAACAGCAGTTGGTGTCTTCTCAATGGTGCCGCCACTTCTTTTTTTCCATTTGAATGATTCTTGGCCCTTCCCACGCTCATGAAGTACTATGTTGTCGTCGGATGCAACAATCCTGCGGCACTTCTTGCAGCGGTAAACTAGTCCAAGTTTCTGGCTGGCATTAGTAGCATGGGTATCAGTCTCACTGCCTGCAGACACAGCTGCTGGAGCAGCTTCTGCGTTTGAGTCATCTGTTGCCATGTTGGTATAACTTTAAGTCTCTAACCACTTAAAACCCTGTAAACGGAACCCAAAAATGGTTAAAGCAGGCTTTGAGGGGAACAATTATGTTAAAACCCTGCATTTCAAATTTGCCAAACAACATACTCATTGTTCAATCATTCATTCTCCTCACCCTACAATAGAGGCACCACAAAAGAAGCGAATAAACCCAATTGGCAGAATACGGCCTTAATTACATAGAACGGACTGAATACAGAACCATCACATTCTTGCTAAATCTCTGACATAGATCGGAAGCTGACATAGTAGCCATACGGCATAGGCTTCAGATGCAAAATCAGACACCGTAAACGTTCGATTATATGAAATTAGGTAAGCAGGCCACACATTAGGGTTTGTTTCAGGGCTGCATAATTAGGTTCTGTTCGAGGCGAACGTCAAACATGGCTGATGAGGTACACGGAGAGATCAATGGAGGAATCGAAAGGAGAGGAATGCAGATGAAAAAGGGGGCGAGACTTACCTTCGTAGAGAGCTCTTTCGAAGACCGTCGCTTGATCTCAGTAGTGGCCGGCCCGGATGGGTTCTAGTTCTACCAGCCTGCATTGTGTCGTGTGTCTCTGTGAACAAGTCGTAATTCTCAGTTCCGACTCCGAATCCGACTGCGATTAAGAAGGCACGCTTAACCGACGACGTTTTGCTCATGGATATTGGATCCAGCGTGCTTGTGCCACGCTTCGCTATGGACCGCGGCCTTTTCACTATTTTGGCCTTCCTGCGGTCCTGTCTTAAATTATCAGTCACAGAATTCAATATTCAGAGTGATTATTATATTATTATATTTGTACAAGAAAGTAACTTAGTGATAGACAAAAACTTAATCCCAAAAAATTCGTATTAATGTGTAATTAACTAATTATCCAAGTTTGAAATGTAAATAGCTATTCATAATTTGTAGAGACTATATTGTGATTTCACATATATAATGGACATAAGGTAATTATTTTTTCATTTCTTTTGAAGATAAACACTAGCTAGCTAGGTGTAACAAAAGGGGATAAGGATTTGGATTTCCCCTATTTCGTTCTCTCTCTTTCTTCTTCTTTTTCTCCATTTTTGTATTATTTTTGCAGGTTAATATATTTATATGGCCTGAACTTTTCACGTAATAAACATTCTGTCAATCTTTTCGATTTATAATATCGTGGCTTGAACTATACATCAAAGTAACAAAATTGGCCAACCCCGAAAATTGACCGTTATCTTGGACGGTCAAACGCATTGACTAACGGTCAACATGCCACGTCACTGCCAAGTCAGCACCTTTCACTTAATTTTTTTATATTTTCCACCTATTATTATTTTTCATTGTGGATAAAAAAATTGGAAAAAATAAATAGTAATAGGTGGAAAAGATAAAAAAAATTTAAGTGAAAGGTGCTGACTAAGAGGTGACGTGACTCGTTGACTAACAGTCAACGCGTTTGACCATCCAAGATAACGATCAATTTTGGGGTTCGACAAATTTCGTTACTTTGGTGTATAGTTCAGACCATAATGTTACAGATAAAAATATTAGTTAGGATGTTTATTATCTAAAAAGTTCATATAAATATATTAACCCTATTTTCTCAAAGCCCAATTCTCATCAAAAAGACTGTTGAAAACAACCAACATACCAAGATCTCCTCTTTATCTTGTACATCCACAAGGAGCTACCGTCGGTTGCCCTCCGTGGAATAAAATCGCAAGCCTTGCTATATAATTATTAATTGCGGGTGGGTAGCAAAAAGAGAGTTGGTTTAACTGGTTATCGGTAATTTTTGATTCATCTTCGCTTACCTCCACGCAGACGGCCGGTCGTTCTTCGCCGCCTCTTCGGAGCCGAGCCTGGTAAAATTGCTACAAATCCAACCCTCGATTTCCAGATCTTCCATTGGAGCGTCGGCGAGCAATGGCGGAAGCGGAAAGGGGTCCGAACCAGCTCAGCACGTCCTACACCTCAGAGATGAGAGACCTGCTTGAATTTCACCTCTTCCTCTTTCTTGTTCACCATATTCTTATCCGGATTAGAGTTTCAGGTGAGATCGCGCTCCAAAATTTTGAAATCGCGCTCTAGCAAAATGAAGTTCGCGAATTTCTATCTAACTCCCAAGAAATTGCGTTTTGGCCTTTTAGAGCGGGAACGTGGAGGGTGAATTGGCGAATTAGGTTACCTAAGTCCTGCCCTTCCATCTTTTATGTAGGGAACTGAAAAAAGAAACAAAGATCAAAGAGGCATGATACAGAGTAGACACTCAAAAATCAAAAGAAAAAATAATCTGGAGACAGGGCAACTTGTCTGCATCACAGAAACGTGACAGCTCAAACTTTGAGTCTGATCTAAAAATCAAATCTTGTCCAGATAACTATTTGAGATACCTGATGACCTTATATGATGCTTGAAGATATGCAACACAAGGTTCCAGTGGCGTAGCCAGTATTTTATTTAAGGGGGTGCCATAAAAAAATTATATATGCGATCTCGTGTTTTATATTGTGAAATTATTCTATAACATATGAATCGGTCAAATTATCAAGATTTCACACTTAATATATCCCACCGAATAACCATTCACTACTTTAGTTCACTAGATACGAAGGCTGATCAATCGTTTCATAGTATTAAATGTTATCAACTTGTGCATTGACAAATGTTAGTAGCAAATCAAATCTAATTTCACAAGCAAATACATTGATAGAAACTAATTTTCATGTAGAAATTAGTAGATGAAATTAATTTATTAGTTTGTTGTGATTTAACGGTAGAAGATTTGACGTTTGACATTGAAATTTAGGATTTAAATATAATAATTAACTAACTAATACTACTAATATTTTGTTCTTTCTCCAAATCTAAGGAGGTGCCATGTCACCCCTTATTACACTCTAGCTACTCCCCTGGTCACTTCAGGACTCGAATACCATATTTGTATTAATATAAGCATTAAGTTAAGATTTACTCACAACTCAATTACGGGCGTAACAGGGCTCTTGTCGTTATTCCACCTCACTCCATCCCCTTTTAAGAGTTCACATACACCATGCCAATGCAGTCAAAAGCGCGATTCTACCTAGAAGCAGAAAAAGTGTAAAATCGAAAAGCATAGAATCAAAGCGTAAAAGCGTAAGTTTTTGACTCATACTGTAAAATAGTTAAAAATCTGTTAAGTACGAAAAATACTATGTAAAATATGAGAGCTCGTAATTTAGATAAGTTAATCAAACATGCCCCTCTACTTCTTTATACATCAAACATGGCTCTGTACTTTGTAAGAATGATCAAACATGTCCTTTTGTTAAAATTTTCATCCATAAACCATTAACCAAGGCCGAACTTTGGTTTGGGCGACACAAATGTCTAAAATATCCCTAATAATTTCACTTTAGAATTTATTTTGGTTCTTTTGTATAGCCAAATAATTCAAATAATTTCAATTTGAAAAGACCTAGAGGAATAAAACATGGGACAAAACTATCATTTTCCCTCCCATTTGCCGATGTCGGGTCGTCTAAATATCGATTCAACCATGATTGACGATTTTTTCAATCGAAATTTTAACAGAAGGACATGTTTGATAATTTTTTCAAAGTACATGGGGCATGTTTGATGTAAAAAATAGTAGAGGGGCATATTTGATAGAACGTCATAGTAGAGGGGCATATTATACCTATAACCCATTACACCCTATAATCAAAGGTTGGTCATGGTTCCCTTCCTCTTTTCCCATCATATATCCATAATTAAGAGGTACCGTGCCTAGTAATGATTCATTACACCCTATAAAATTCTTTTAGGGTAATTATGGAAATGAAAAAGTGACCACACCCGATTATTCTATATAATCTACCCAAACCCTAGTTCTACCCTCTTTCCAGCCAAACCCGCCGCAACCGCCTCCACCACTCCGTCGCAGTAATCCCGCCGGTCGCCTACACCAGCCCCTCCCCTCTGCCACCCCCGACGACCACCCTTGACGACGACGAATCCTACAGCCGGCCACCAGCGGCGGATTCAGGATACAATAGAGCACTGATAACAATAGTTTTCATTACAATGTCAATTGTACACGACAGTCTTTTAATTGAGCAAATTCATCAATAATGGAGTCTTCATCCATACCAATAGCATACTCTCTCAAAGAAAATAGTTAAGCAATCTGTAAGAAATTCATCGCTCATTTTGTTGCGCAAATCAGTCTTCACATGTTTCATTGCTGAAAAGGATATCTCTGTAGTAGCCGTTGAAACAGGCAACTTCAACACTAGACGAATCAAGCGACAAATCATTTTGAATTGAGGCTCCATCTCTGTTTTCACCAGCTTCTCTAGTAGTTTTGTAAGGGAAGAAACCTCATATTCCTTATCACGAACCACATGAGAGGCAAAAAATCCAAGTTCATTCTGCAAAGAATTCATCTCATAGCCTTTGAAGTCTTGAGGATAAAACTCTTCAGCAAGTTTGTATATCTTTTCTTCATCAAAAGAACGGAAAGAACCTTTAGGATCTAGTGCACCGACCAACTGAAGCAATCTAACTGATGACTCATTGAATCTTGAATTCAATGGTCCCCACTGAAAATCTATGCATTGATTAAAGTACTCAAAATGGTAGCGGTGCTCAAGAGTTGTTAGCTTCTCACCACGTCCAAGTGTAGCATTCATATTAGGTACTTCTATGCCATGTTTTGAGCAAAAAGATTTCACCTCTTCGAGTAGCTTGTCCCACCCTTCATCTCGTAGTTGTTGAAGTTTAACTTTTGCTATGGAAACAAATCCAACTGCAGCTACAATGTCAATAGATTCTTGTTGAAATGCTTGAAAAAGAAAATCTGTGATCTCCATAATCCTTTTCATCAAGTACAGATGAATACAAACTCAAAAGTCTTGATATTTTTTGAAGCACCTCTGGCATGAGCTCGATGTATTCCTTCTTTAGAACGACTAAGATCCTCAAGCACTACTGATGACTTGATATATACACATATTTTGTCCACCATTCTTATATTGTTTGAGCCTCATTTCTCGTATCTTAGGCCGATTTCATGCTAGGTTGTTCTTGTTTGTGATATTTCAGGTCCTAGTACGTAAATAGAGATTTGGGAACGAGTTCGGGATCTATTGGATGAATGTTGGGCGTTTGGCGAGAAGCTGAGAAAACCACATGGCCAGACCTAGCAGCAACACGGCCGTGTGGAATTCCATTACGCGGGCAAGACCACACTGGCGTGTACTGGGTCCCTTGCGGTCGTGTGGAAATTCCAGGGATGTCACACGGGCAAGCCAGTGTTCTACACGGCCGTGCAGCTCTAGCCGTGTAGCATTCGTGAGACCACTTAAGTGAAACGCGGCGTTTTCACCTCCACACGGGCAGCTGGGATTTCCACACGGCTGTGTGTTCGGGAAATTCTGGATTTTAACCCAATTTCGAGCCTAAGGAGAGAAAAATCGAGTTTTAGAGCAAAAAAACAGAGCTTTAGAGAGAGAAAGTGCGAAGAACAAACCCCATGAGCTATTTTGAGTGGATTTCTCACCATTGAAGCCCATATTGCATCCCCAGGAGTGAAGATCGAAATCCTAGAGCAGATTATCATCATCTTTATGAGTATAACTACCTTGATTTCTGATTTCCTCTCTCTATGGAGTAGAACCTTCTCTCACTTGGGTATGAAGAACCCTAGTTCCATGTGTTAGGAATCTTCATTGTAATGACTTGGGATTGATATACTGATTGGTTATAATCGATTAATGCATGATTCACTGACTCAATTTAAGTTTGAACTTCTTTTCTTGAATTCTGCTGCAACCTGAGATAGATAGAATCTGATTAGGTTGTTAGAGCTTCATCAATCGGTAGTGGTAGATTGGTTATACGAGAGTTAATAGATTTACTGCTTTGTGTTGGAATCTAATTCTAG